TAAATGCTTTAAACATAAATGTTTAGTTGTCTTTGCACCTGCCCCTGTGGAGTCTGCCTTAAAGGTAGCAGCATTTCAGTTACAGACAAGAACCAAATGAGGCTCAAAACACCATAGAGAAACTGATAACTAGGCATTAATGTTTTGGTGGTGGTTGAAATTAAGTAAGTAATGCAATACATCCTGTTCATCCAATAAAGTGACTGCAGTCACAAGGACCACCATCTGCCCTTTTTTCCCCTGATCATTAAGCAAGCATTCAGTCTAGGACACAAAATGAGGTGCTTTTTATCCTCATACTCAACAACAAACACACATTTACAGCACAGTGTAACCGAAACAATGCATGATATCGCTGATGTGGACTGATGTAGTGCTGTAGATCTTTAAATATCACAAATTATATAGGACTTGTCAAGTATTGTTGATCATTAGCATTTTCTGGGAGGTTATAATCAGAGTAATGATGAAACAAAGAGTCACTTGTAATTACAGTACGTTGCACCACGTGTGTTCTCTTCTGAAAAGAAGGATGGGGTGGATTTTAATTCGTGGCACTTTGGCCAAAGGACACTGTACATGAAGTTGAACTAATTGGATACAGTAATTAAGGCACAAAGGCACGTTGATGTGGAGAAAAAGGGAAAAAAAAAATCCTCGATCAGCATTTGTAATTTAAAACAGGTTTATTTGCTCGTTCACCATCCCTTGTGCTCATTGATTTTTCTCCCTGTTGTCATTTTACGCTGCAGTCACAGGAGCTGCTGACTGACTGGACTGAGTGAAACACACACGCCTGGCTGGATGAACACACATGGCAAGGGAGGGAAAAAAATGATTTGATAAATTCAGTCAGCCGAGCCACAGGATACCAGGGGTTTTAATTGTATTGGACAATCTTCATTAGAGAGCAGGAGTGATCAGGGCAGCGTCACTTTCAAAAGCCTTTTTTTTCCCCAGCCATGGTTTTTCACATTGTACATTCAAAATGTCAGCCTATACCTTGGTCATTTGTAACATAATAAGTCGCAGTCGATGGGCTGCAATGCAGCAGCATGCTGGGGGAAGGGCAAACAGTCTGTCCCCTTTAAAGGGATTTTTAAGGAGTCTTGATTAGAAAGTATAATGAGATACCAAAGACACAGCAAAGATGATCTCTCTAGAGACTGGTGGAAAACAAATTAAGATGGTGCTTTTGTTTTTAATTATTATTTTTCTATCAGTCCATAGAAAGCTCAGTATTACCCCTAAGGCACAGGAGTTGGATTCACTGTCATTGATTTTTCCCTTTCCGTGACATATTTAAATAATACAGATTTAATCATGTCAGCACACAATGCCCTGATCCTTTTAACACCAAAGCCTTCCAGCGTGGCACATGCATTTGATTTAGAAAATGGCATGGTGTCTGAGCTAAAAAAAAAACTGGGTACTCTCATCGGTTAAGTTTGCACCTGTGTGTCTGTCAATCCCCAAATCTCCCACCTGATATGAAAATGTAGGCCGTACTCAGAGTCACACTGGATCTTCTTTGGATTCGCATTTGTTTGCATCAAACACATGTAAATCTGTGGAATTGTACTATTAAAATTGCGATAAAGAAAACAAAGTCAGGTTTAAGCGTTCATATCATATCATCAGCCCTGTAGGTGGTAAAGAAGTGCCGTGTCTTGACATTAGAGTATACCGCTGTCAGAGAGCAGTCATCTAAATAATGGCCTTTGTTTTCCTCTGTTAATTGGAGCATGTTCCAGGATAGTGAATGGGGGAGAAACATGAGACTTCCAGGACATGAGAAACAGATGCTCTACACTTCTGTGCACACCTTTTCCCAGGAAAAACAGGAACATGAATAGAAGATGAGCTGAAGAGAAATAACTGATATCTAGTAGAATCCTGAGAAAAAGAGACGTGGGATTGTTGGTGAAACCAGAAAAACAGGAACGAGTTGGCTTGTATATTTACACAAAGGGCCAGAGTCAGTTCTGTTTTGTTTTTTTTTGTTTTTTTACATGTGAAGACATTGTGAAGTTTATCAGAAAGCAAAGACATTATTGTTTTTGTTCTGCATCGTATATTATTGACACAACTTGATAAATCGCAGGCTCTGTGAACTTATGTCTCGTAATCCGAGCGTGGCTCTCATTTTCATTCCATCTGTCACGCTACTGTATGTCATATCTTATTCATGCATACCAATGTCCATTTTAATTAGTCATTCTGGGTCACTGTAGACCTCTTCCTGCTTTAAGCAGTGGTGTGGCAGATGTGTGAATGAGGTTCATTTGCCATTATTTGAGCGAAAATAGGCCATTACAGCCATTGTGATGAGACAACAGCCGCTCAGTGATAATAACACAGATCCCAGTTTAACAGAAAAGAAGCTTTAAGGGATGTGACGGCATAAATCACTTCATCATAGATTCAATTCAATTATTTCCAAAATATCAAATGAGGCTTTCAGTGTATTAGTGATACAACAAATAATTATCCTAATTATCATAATTATGCCTGAGCAGAAAAACAAATTTAAGAAAACCTTCCCTTTTGTCAGCGTACATTTTTGTCTGTTGGCGACATACAGGAGCTACACTGTTCTGTAGCATTACAACAAATCAGAAATCTTTGTAGGTCCGGCCGACATTTATACAGCCTGCTAATCAGGCTGAATTGCCATTTTCGTTCTCACATCATTCTTCATTCCTAACTA